GGGGTCAGGGAGCGGTGCATTTGGAGGCCTCTGGGGTCTTACAGTGCAGCGGTCATCCAGGGACATCGGGATGAACATGAACACGGGACATTTTAATGTGTCCTCTCCATATCTGCAGTGACATGAAAGAATTCATACCAGCAACAAGGGAGAGTATGTGCCTTGCTCAGTTCAGCGGAGACAAGAATTCCAGACTGCACTCGTGGGCATGCTTCCCCTGTGATGCCAGCAAGAAGTCCCTTGGACTTCGGCCACAGGTGCACCTTTCAGACAGATGCTCCTGGTGGTAAACATGTCGCTGACTGGCCTGCACTGACATCTCCACAGCAATCCCCGCCAAGTGGTCTGGAGAGAAGTCTCTTTCCATGTAATTACATGAAGAGTCCACATCTGGCCTTATTATGATTCTTAAATTGGTGGAGATTTAAAAATAGAAGCGCTGATGCTGAGCTATGCTCCACAAGTGTAACACAACTGAGAGAAAACCAGAACTCTCAACGGACCCAAAGCCACGACTGCACGGGTGGCTCAGGTCAGTGGGTGGGGAAATCATCAAGGGCAGCCCATGTGGAGAACCACGGTGTCTCACACTAGGATCTCACACCTGCTGGAGGGTACGCTCCTCGGAATCTTCTCGTTCATCCTCCGCTGCTTCACACCTTTAACTCTTAAACATTTCTTTAGGCGTCTGTTGTTAGTAAGGGCAGATGATCTCACGAACCGTTCTAGAATGGTGGGGAACGGGAGTGATGTCCCTGCCGTCACTGCAGAAATGGTGCAGGATCATTTTCCTTATTTACTTACATTCTAACTTTTCCTATCTAGGATGAGGATCTTGCTGATGTCGGTGCGTGCGATCCATGTGTTATCTGCACTCACCTCCCTCCCTGTCTGTCACCTGTCACCTACCTGAATTTCTCTGCCTTCAATAAAACAAGGACCTCACTTCCCACATGAGCCTTTAAGAGTTGAATAGGCGTGTGCTTTGGGAGGTAAAAAGAGATGTCAAAGGCAGAGTGAAGAATTCGGTCTGCCTCAGTCTGAGTGCTGTCTGCCTTCTGGGGAAACCGTGAACCTCTCTAAACTATTTGTTCTTTCTGAGTCTTATTTGCTCATCTGAAAAATGCAAAGAACGATACGCCTGTGAGATGATTTTATGAGATTAACTGTGTATTTGTGAAAGCACTGGGCACTAAGCAGGCACTAAAACTGTGTGTGAAGTAAGGGTGTGACCAGTTGCTGTACTGGTAGAAAGATGACAAACCAGGACCCACCCCAGCAATGCTGCCAATCACCTAACTCCTTTCTCCCCCTTCTCTCTGTCAGTGTCTTTTATTTGGTTCAATATTTGTGTTTTTACTTTCTACTTTCAGCATTGTCAAAGGATGCACATTTGTAAAGAAAAGACAGAGTACCTCTGTTCTCCCTGCCACCTGGCCACATCTTTCTGTTTTTCTCTCATAGGCATATCTTGCAGCCATGGAGACCCCAAACATTACTGTCTCTTAATCAAAAAACAGAAAAGAGGCCCAGGGATTTAGCTCCGCCAACTACCTCACAAGTACAAGGGCCCGAGTTCGATCCCCGGTACCAAAAAAAACCAGAAAAGAAGCACTGGAGACAGGGTCTGCTGAGCAGTGACACGGCAGGGACCTGCACCGCTTTTGGCTTTGCCACTGTCATCAGGTCACAGGGGAACACGGACGTGGGGGCCGGCACTGATCACACAGAACGAGTGTGTCAGTGTGGGTCACACAAATCCACCGGGGACAGCATTCACGGGCTCAAGCTCTCCATTCTGCAGTCTTTAAAAGTCCTCCACCTTTCTGCAATTTCTGAAGCGGCTCAGTTGTACGAATTTCACTCATCTCACTCAGAATGAGTTTGGTCAGCTTGGGCGGGCTTTTGTAGCTCGGCGAGCAGCGCTGGCACTCAGACAGCTGTGCGGTTGGTCTCTTTCTGCTTCCACTTGTTTCCCCTTCTCTGCCCTTTCTGTCTCAGTGCCCTGCAGATCTGTTCTGTCTTCAGTTTTCACCATGTGTCACTTCCTGCAGGACAAGTGGACTTTTGTGTCTCTCTCCACCCTGGCAGGTTTGCCTGTGTGTTTCTTCCAGAAGAGCACGAGCAGCGGATGCACGTCTCTTTCCTATTCCTCAGTGAGTAGGAAAAAAGACTCCATTTTATGGCCAGGATTACACCAAAATGAGGAGCTCTGGACACATCCTAACTCTGGAAGAAACCACATCAGTGAGAGGACAGGCACGCTCTTTCCACTTAGTTTAGGGTCTCCATCCCCTCTTTAATTTCCATGACACACTTTCCATAATATCACAGTAATTGTGAGACTGACGCACATGGTGTCCCCAAACAATTCGTGTGTGTGTGTTTGTGTGTGTGTGCATGCACGTGAGAGTGTGTGTACGTGAATATATTCAGGGTTGGTTTGGGAAATACAAAACCAAATAATAAATAGCAATCTTAATTTTTAAGTCACTTCAAATGAATAGATGCCAAAACATGTATAAAAATTTAAGTTTGAACATTTCCAGTGGAAATCTTTTTCTTTTCCCCATAAAAAGTCATAATTTCCGCAGTTTTATTCTAATTTTGACTTTTAGACATCTTGTGTGGATGTTGGATTGTCACTCTGCCATAAAATGTGCCAGAATTTGCAAGTGTGAGGTTGGAATTTCAGTTGGCTGGCAAATAAGATGCTATAGAAAAAGAGACCAAAGAGCCAGTGTTGGTTCTGGATCACAGAGTGTGACGTGCTTCTTGATTCTAGGACAACGGCAAGTGTTGGCGACGTGGAAAGCACACGCTTGCACCGTTGGGCAGGTCACACACAGTACGTCACACGTACAATGTAGTGCCTGCCTTCTGTTCATACAGAAAAACTTCACATCGGCCCTTTTTTTCTGAGTGTGTTGGCGATTTCCCTCCCTGCTTCTTTCAACTCGGAAAAATAAAACTTTTCTCAACATGGTGCCTAACCAGCTGCTAACCGGAGGACATTCCTTGCTCCCCTGTTCCCTTAAAGACTTCATTTAAGGTTAAGTGTGCCCAGCACCCCCCTTTTTTTTGGCCAAGAAAAGTTTTTATTGCCAGCACAGTGAGCAGAAAGAGTGTGTCTTCTCACAAAGTGGCCACAGAGTCTGCCATTAACTGAATCTCTCCGACAACCCTTCATTGGTTTAAAGCATACAAGTTAGCTTCTTGCTCTCAGGTGTACATCACTTCTGCCATGTGAGACATTTTCTTGGGAACATACAAGTAATATTCCATGTAGCCTGATAGGTCCTCAATGGTCACATCATCCACATAGACTCGAGCTTGCTCAGAACAGGAGTGAGGAGAGCCGCACAGAGTTCTCATGTGCAGTGACTGAGAGTAGTCCTCACGTGTGGAAATTCACTCTGCGGGCCTGAAAAGGAATATACTTCCATGTCATGCCATCTCTTACACTGGCACTCCTTGCCTACACAGGCACACGGCTTGCCTTGGTTTAACTTGGAAACAGACCGAAAGTCAGAGAGATCATTGGCCTTCAGACTTGCTTGAGAGACTTGGGTAGCATCAGAGGAGTCTTCGGTCTTAATCTCCAATGGGAGCCTTAGAACCGAAGTTCTTAAAGGGGGTGCTCCCCGGGGGCAGCTGCTGCAGTTTCCTTCTCTGCTTACTCTGCCTTTCCTGTACTTCCGTTTGCTTTCTCGTCCTTTGATCTACAGTTTGAAAACTGCTGCACCTCAAGCCTGTAAATATGGCCACTTCCACTTTCACCTTTGCCGGTCTAATTTCTTTTCCTGACAGAGAAGCCCTTTAGCTCCACTCTGCCTTTACACCCTGGCCAGGCATCGATCTTTGGCCATCTGTTCTTGATTCCTGGTCACAACCCCGTGCCATCAGCTTCTGTAGTGGAGGAAGAGGGATGGGATTCTACAGAATGCAGCATGAAATGTGGCAGCCCATTTACCCTGTTTGCAGCAGTGGCTTTGAGTAGGCCGGCTTCCCGCAGATGAGGTCATGGCACAGCAGCAGTAGCACTGATTTCTAGAAGTGTTTTTTCCCAAGGTGTGGTTGGTTAAGCCATTGCCTGGGGTAGTTTAACTGTGTTTGCTCCACAGTCTACATTCTTTCCATGGCTTTAACTGGCCCCAACGGAAGTTAACACTTGGAGTTTTAACTCATAATCAATAAGAGAAGCCAAATATTCTTTTTGAGAAGATGTATGGCCACATGGTGGAAAGCTCTAGGGTATTAGGATCCGGCCCACAGACAGCTATCAGAACAAGGACGAGCAGAAGTTTGGTTCAGAGTTCCCAAGGAGCTCAGTTTTAATAAAATTGGTTTGTCCCAGACATTAGCTCTGTCTGTACTAGAAAGATAAGATCCAGTAGACAAGGAGACCAAATAATCCTGAATGTAAGAGCTTGCTTAGAAACCCTTGATTCTCCAGCATCAACAAACCTGGAGTGATTTCATATGATTTAAAGTTTGTGTTACAGCATGGTGTCTATAGTTAATAACAATATATAGTATGCTTGGAAATTTCCAAGGGAATAGGTTTTCACTGTCCTCACCACAACAAAATTATGTGAAATAGTGCCCATGTTGCTGCCTCAATCTCCCTGCCCCAGAATGTATATGTATTTGAAGACATTATATAGTATGGTGTTAATGCTTTGTTTTGTTTTATTTTTGAGACGGGGTCTCACGAGGTCTTTCAGGCAGGCCTAGAAGTCACTAGATAGCCCAGGCTGGCCCTAAGCACCTCTCGACCCTCCTGTCCCAGCTTCCCCAGTGTTGAGATTACAGGTGTGCCGCCACATCTAGGCTTCTGTATTGTGTTTCTTAATCAGGTTGGTTTCTAGTATGCACAAGGAGTTTCTCATTTAAGTGTCGCAGTGTGTGTTGTGGCAGGAGGTCGTATGTGGGGACTGGGTAGAAACGGTTCCTCATGTGCCCCTCAGCCCATTTCTGACTCCCGCTCTCTGTTGCAGAATCACCACCACCGCTGCGTGCATGATGGACCTCAGGAGGTACCCGCTGGACGAGCAGAACTGCACTCTGGAAATCGAAAGCTGTGTGTATCTGCGTCTGTGTTTCTTTTTCTCCCACTTTGTGTTTTAGCTCTTCTTACTGTCTTTTAGCAACTTTTCCAAGGCATTGATTATGTTCTCAACATTCTTTTTAACCTATTTTAAAAATTAGAGGTTTAACACCAGTCTGGAAATTTCAGTCTCATAACAGAGGCAGGGAGGGGAGAACGGAAGGAGACTCAGACAGAGAGACAGACAAAGAGGCAGGAAGGGGAGAGGAAGAAACAGAAGGAAGGAAACAGAGAAAGAGAGACATTGACAGAGACATTCAGGACACACGAGTCCTTCATTATAATCTGATTACGAGAGTCTGTTCTCTGGGCTGAGATATAAGAAAACAAACACTGCTCACCCCATCCATTCAGCAAGAAGGGAGCGAGGGTGAGATGCAAGCTCTTACGATGTGTTTCATCAGCACGACCAGCTGCACTGCGGGGACCCGGGCAGGCGGGTGGAATAAATCTCATTTTTCATCCAGATCTCAGCTTTACAAGCAGCCCATTCTGTATTGTGGCAATTTTCTTCAATTTGAGGAGTATTCAGATGCTTTATCGATGATCTGGGAGGAGCCAGAGCTGCACATAGAACAGCTAACAAGCAGAGTCGCTCTGCCATCCGAGCGGAACCTCATGGCACAGCAGGATGTCGCTGTCGGTTTCCTTGCTGACTTGGGGCCGTCACACGCTGGCATGTCATGCTTCAAACTGAAGCTGTGGCTTCGGGTGACCTTGTCTCTGCAGTGTCACTTGATGCAGCCATGGCAGGAAGGACATTTCCATGCACATAGGACGGATGGCGTGGTGGGAGGCCGCTGCCCAGGTCCTGCCCCATCCCTTCCGCAGTGCAGCACCATCGTGTTTTCTGAGTGCTGCTTCCTGCGAAGACGAGGGGCATGAACTCATGTCAAGCCGTGCAGGACTGGATCACCTGGGGACACTTAGCACTCGGGGACAGGGGATGACTTCCCAGCCCATGAAAGACCCTCCCAGGATGTGGGCGGATCACATTCCCAGGCCCCAGGGACAGTGAAAATTTCAGGACAGCAAATTCGGGGTCCAAGTGAGGAAGCAAGTGGCACCTGTTCTGACTCCTGAGCACACCAGAGCTTCTGCGAATGTGGTTCCCATCGAGGTGATGGCAAGCCATGGAGGGCAGAAGCAGGAGGGTCTTCCGTAAGGGGAACCCTTGCAGAGAAAGAGAGGGCCCTCCCTTGCCAAAAACCCCTGCTTCAGACATTTGAGTGGAAAATGTCGGCCACCAGTTTTGCGGAGGCCTGAGTCCTCGTGTCTCTGCCTTGAGAATGGACCACACAGAGGTGTGGCTCTATTTCCTAGTGTGCTGGCAAACTCATCAGTCCATGAATTTACACAGCAAATGCTTCCTGGATGTTGCCTCTGGGCAGACACTTTATTTCTCTTAGATCACGTAGATCAGCCTGGGGCCTTGTAGATACTCATGGTGCCACTGAGCTGCAGCCAGGTCCTGTGCAGCTGCTGTAGGCCCAGGGGTGCAGGGAAGTCAGACGGAGCTTATGTTCCAGAAAGGAAGCGAACCATTGGAGCAGAAATGAATGAAGACAGATGTTCTGAAGAAAATAAAGCTGGATGAAAGAGTTGTGGGGGCCGTGGGATTGCTTGGAGGCTCCATTTGTTGAGATGAAAAGGTGGGGAAGGATGAGGGCAGGGCAGGTCTGGCTCAGCAGAGGGCCTGGGAGCAGTGGGCTGGCCAGAGCCCTAGGCGGAGGCTGGGGAGGCTGAGCTGCTGAGGCGGGCAGGAGTAGAGCTGCACAGGCCCAGTCCTGCAAGTTCACGAAGTCCGTAGAGGACCGCAGACCTGTTTTGCCAAGTGCGCTGGGAGATGTTTGCAGGCTCCAAGCATAGGACTGATGTGTCCAGAGCTGCCAGGCCAGAATGGGCAGTGAGGGACACACAGGGCTGGTAGATATGAGCACCCCGATAGGATCCACGCGCGGGGGACCCTTGGGGGCTAGGGAGATGGCATCAGCCATGGACACTCCCCCTGTGCATGGTCCCTTTGTTTGTTTACTGTCAAATATTTCTGAGCATCTTCCTTTTGTTAGATATCCTCAAATGCAAAGTCTTTCCCTTCAGATATGTGCTTTAATAGCTCTTGATTTAAAAGGTTGACTTGGTCTCTTGGGAGACTCCTGGGCGTGACAGTCACCTGGGGCTCTGTTGTCCTGGTCACACATTCTTCTCGGGAAGCACCGATCAGTCCCCAAGCCAGCCCGAGCACCGAGCCAGGAGCTGGCTTTGGAAGTGTCATGCGGCATCACCGGCCCGAATCCCTCAGGGAAATTGTGTCCCAACACAAGGCCTGTCGAAGGGTGGCAAACCACAGAGCTGGGGAGCCCGTGGGACCTTCAAACATGCAAGCACACGTGTACTTTTGTCTTCAAACCGTGTGGCCCACCACCAACTGGTTCAGGTCCCCCGTCTGGCCACTAGTCGGGCCCTTGAGAAGAGCCGCCTTCCAGGTGCCCCATCCCTCTTCCCACTGCCTCAGTCCTGTGTTAAACGTGCTTTAAGCCCACTCTGCATGACGACAGGGCAACCCCAAGGCTGTGCTTTACGAACCGGACTCTGGCCAAAGTTTCCTGGGTCCCCAGGCTACTTTCAAGCCCTGTAGGAATCACACAGCTCGAGCCACGAAGAACATTTGCAAGTCGGTTCCTTGACGATGCTCCTCGTAGTTGGGTGCATTCAGCACATCTTCCCAGGAGGGCAGAGCCACTGCTCCCGCTTCATCGGAGAGGGTTTCTTTAGCTGTGCGTTTACATAAAAGGAAGGTGCCTCATGTCCTCGTGTCCCCACCTCTCTCTCCCACCAGATGGCTACACCACGGACGACATTGAATTCTACTGGCGTGGCGGGGACAAGGCTGTCACTGGGGTGGAGAGGATTGAGCTGCCGCAGTTCTCCATCGTGGAGCACCGGCTGGTCTCCAGGAACGTCGTCTTCGCCACCGGTGAGCTGCTACCCACTCGGTTTCCTTGATGCTGGCGGGACAGGTGTGATGGCCTCTCTTCGGCCATTCACAGAGGTGCCATCATCGGTAACTCACCATCATGCTGGCCCTTCCTAAGGGAATCGGCAAGCGTGGGTGGGTGGGAAGGACCTCCTGGAGTGGGACCCTCGCCCGCGTGCTGGGTGGACACAGACAGCCGGTATCTGATAAAGTCCGGGGCAGACCAGAGGCACAGAATGGGCTTCCGGCAGACAGGAAGGGAAGAGCAGGGTGAGGGCAGGTGGGTATTCCCCTCCCAACACTGGCCACCTCCCCACTCTGGCCGGAAGTCAGCCCTGATGAGCTCGGGACTGAGGCTGAGGACAGTTAGCGTTGCCTCCTGGGACGCAGCCCCTCTGACAGTGTCTGGTGACAGCGGCCCAGCCTGGGCTTCCATCGTGCTTGCTCTGGTGGTTTAAAAAGTAAGACTTCTGCACCTCTGTCTGTTCCTGCCGGGGTTTCACAAAACTGCACTTGTGTACTGGATGGCTTGCGGGGCTTTCTTGGTAGCTCCGAATGCTGCGCCTAGTAGTGAGCTGCTAAGTGAAAGTGCTCTGAACCCGAAGGTGTGGCCACGTCCACGGACTGGAGTGGCCATGTTAAGCGCAGCCAGAGCCGCCTTTAACCTGCCCAGTTGCTAGGCAGAGCCTGGCCCCGGCCCCATGAGGCTATGCAGAAGCAGGCAATCTGCTGTCTGTCCTGGGGCCCCTGGGCTCCTGATCTGCAGCCTTGCTTCCCTTTTCCCCCAGCCTACTGATCCGTCTTGGTGCCACTTTTCCTAGGAAACTGTGAGTGCTCTGCCCGGCATGGTGCAAGGCTCTCAGGGGGCTGCCCTGCACCCCACAGCACTCAGCAGGGACCTGGCCTGGCCCCGGCCCCTCCTCACCTAACGTCCACCCTGCGGGCCCTGTGGCCATAGTCACAGAGCCAGCGGACACTGTGTCCAGACCGTCACCGGGTGTGGCTCCTCCCTCCCTGCCCGCCTCTGACAGCTCCTGCCGGGGGAAGTAGAATCCAGACCTACCCACCTGTCCTCACGTAGTGTCGCAGTGTCCTTTTATCCTCTGTCTCAAGAGGTCCTGCACACTCCCCGCAGCCTCCGGGGGGACCCGCTGAGGGGTCCATCCCTCGTGGGCAGTGAGAGGTGGTAGGAACTCAGGCTGCCATCTCGGAAGAGTGAGCGTCCTCAGCCCTGTGATGTGCTGAATCCGCAACTCTTTACACCCAAGCCTGGGTGGACGCTGTCCCGGGCTGAGGGTCGCCGAAGGTCTGCCAGGGCACGGGCCAGAGTCCTCCCAGGGAAGGGTGGAGCCCTTGCTGCTTCTGCCCAGATCAGGGCAGTTACTGCATACTGCCCTAGAATCTCCTAGCTCAGGTTCCTGCCACCCCATGGAAGTGTGCAGAGGGGCTTTTGGGCTCCTGACTCCTCTGGGTCCTGCAGGCCCTGAGACTGGCCTCTCTGTGCGGCTGCATCTGTCTTTGGAGCAGGAGCACAGTGGAACACATTAGGCCTGGCCAGGGAAAATGCACAGGCTGTGTGGGGAGTTCAAGCTCTCCGCAGACCCACCAGGCCCTTAGGATGTAAGGATCGTGCCTTCCTTCCAGCTGCTCTGAGACCTGCACCTGCCAGGAGTAGCCTGGAACTTCCCATCACTCCTTTATTAAACCTTCTGATCTTCCAAGAGCTCGGCCTTTAAAATTTACCCCAGTTTACCCCTACAGGAAGAACTTCTTCACCTTAAACTACTATACAGTTAAATTTTACACTCGTGTGTTTTCCCGCCATGCGTGCGCGGCATTAGTGAGATTTCCATCAGTGAGCGGAACCGAAGGGCACAGCCTGCGTGGGCCTTGTGGGCGTGAGGCCTGGCCGGGCCGGCGGAGGATCTTCCACCCTGCCTCTTCCTCCTCCTCTTCATCTCCCTGTCTCCCTCCCCTTCTTTTCCTTGTCCTTTTCTTTCTCCTCCTCCTCCCCTTCCTCCTCCTCCTCCCTGTTCCTGGGGGCCCCCCGCTGAGGGGACAGCAGCCCCGAGCTGCGGGTCAGGTTCTGGGTGTCGCAGGCTTTGGGCGGAACACCATACAGAAGTCGTGGGTCTTCGCTCCGCGCAGGCACATGGCGCCCGGCACGAAGGGAGCAGAACTTCGTCTGTGCGGTTCTCCCTGCCCTGCGTGGTCTCAGCCACTTTAGGTCTCGCCTGAAGGAGTGAAGCTCCCGCAGAACTCACAGAAGTGTGACCAGGAGACGCGGTGGACCAGGGTGCAGTCGCGCAGAGTGCTGTCCCAACGCTGACGCTCAGGCCCTGGGTCCGGTGCATGTGTGGCTTGTGAATTCAAACCTCAGACCCTGACCCTGGGGCTTGCAGTGTGACCCCACCACAGGACTTCTGCCGGTCTGTAGGCAGGGGCAGGGATGGGGCAGCATCTGTGTGTTAGGGCTCTTGAGGGAGTTACAGGGCCTGGGACAGTGCCGGCCCTGGTGAGCACTGCTAAACCATCCTGAGTTGGTGGGTGTGGGGCCAGGAAAGAGGAATGTTTGGGAGACTGAAAATAGACTACCTGGTAGCTTATTAGAGCTTTGCGTATAAAAATTATTCTTCTGGACATTCTTCTGGACTGTTGGATGTTAGGTAACAAACACCTTGTTGCTGGTTTGATGGATTCTAAGATCAGAGAGTCTTGCAGTTTATATTCACATCTTTAATACATATCCCAGGGTCCACCCCACTCATTCTATGACTTGAAAATGAATGATCACCGAAACGAGGGAGGAAATCTAACCCTTGTTACCGAGTATATGTCCAAATGAATCTTTTCTGCAGAGCTGGCAGTATGTAAATGAATATTATATACTCAAATACTTAATGCACTCAAATATCCCATTTTGAAAAAAAGTGCGCAGAAAGCCACTCTGGCCCTGGGTAGAAGTTAAGTATACCTTTACTCAGGAAAAGGGAGCTGTGCTCTGTCATCATGTTCTAAAACATAAAAGAACTGAGTAAAGTACGATAAAAAATAAGTGTTCAGTTCCAAGCAGGATTTAGCAAATATCTTTTGGAGAAATTGTTTCAACTCATTTAGAACTCCAAAGAAAATGAAGCAAGACTGCATTCCTCTAACCTCCAACCACGGTAGTGGCATACTGTCTCGTCATTTGTAATACTTAAATCTTTAAGGCAGATTTGTTCACTAATGCACCTGGGAGATTAGTAGTTGATGAGTTCAGTCACTTAGAGTATAAGAAAACGAGGGGCTAGGAATGCAGCCGACTGGTACGGTGCTTGCCAAGCAGCACCTATGTGAATTGATAAATACGAAGATGGAAAGGATAATGGTTTGAGCAGATTTACAAAGCAGAGGTAGAATAGTGAAGATGACCCTAATTGATTTGTGGGAGCCCCTGCCACACTTTTTAACAAAGGTTCCCAGATGAGGTTTCATAAGCTTTAAGTGACAATTTCCCACACTGTCATGCATTCATGTTGGAAAGGTTCTCACCAAAAACATAAGTGTGTAAACTTTTAACAAAACATGGTAAAATCTGCAGCGTTGCTGTGGTAGACGCTGCACACCAGAGCTCTTCTCCTCCACAGTCCCGAGTGAGTGATGCACTGTGGGTGACCTGTGTGATTCTGCAGGCTTCCTCACTGACCACGGAGTCGATGTTCCTGCAGCCTTACCCGGTCCTGGAGTTTCTTAGTCCAGTGCCAGAAGGCAGCTCTGGCCGCTACTCAGCCCTGCCCCGTGGCACTGCCCCTGGCCCTCCGTGCAGGTCCCTAACCTCATCCTCGCCTCCTCAGGGGGGCACACGAAGCCTGCACTGTAACTGCCCCTTGCCTTCCTTCCCCTCTGCAGTTGTTCCTGTCTGCCTTCTATTCCCCACCTTTTGCTCCTGCTACAACCTTCATTTACCATGTATTTTCTACTTCCTGCCCTTCTCCTTCTGCTTCCTCCTCCTCCTCTCCTCCTCCTCCTCCTCCTCCTCCCCCTTGTTCTTTCTATCCAAGTGTAGTGCATTAATCGGTGATCAGTTTAAATACATACCGCTCTGCTTGGTCTTCCTTAAGCTTCTCTGCTGATTCTCCTTTGGAAAACTTTGAATTGTATCTTGTATTGTTTACTCTCACACTTATGGAAATCAGACATTCAGTAAAGATCATTTGAGTGAATGTATTTGTTTATAATCATGTACTCAAGATTTTTACAGAATCACCAAACCCCCAATACAGGTTCTCCTTGAAAGTCAAACAGGAATGAGAAAAAAGAAAATAGGTTATTTTCATTAGGCCAGTTATCCATCATTCACTATTTAAATCTACTGAACTTTTCAAAAATCCTTGACCAATTAGTGAAAGTGTTTATAAAGTGAATTTGTAAATTGTTTATTGATACTTCCATCCAAAAAAGTTAATCCAAACCTGAAAATATGCCTTGTTAAGGTTTGCAAGAAAGAACAGGGAGGGCAGATTGAAAAGGATCCACAAAGACAGAGAGGAAGAAGGAAAGAGGAAATTTTTGCACTTCTTCAATGTGCCATTTCGGAGCTACAAGATGACAAGATACTTCATTTTGACGTCACTCAAATAAAGAATTCACTGTAGTGGGTGAATGTCTACGTGTGTCCCATTGCTGTGAGACTCACAAGGATTTATAGTGGAATTTCAGGAAATACAGAAACATTTTTAAAATAAGTGCAAACTTGGATTAGTTTAGATCTTTGAAATTCTTTTGATTAAAACTTGAAAATGTAATTGGCCTTCTAAATAAACTTCAGAAATATTGTAAGGATTTGGTTTACTGAACTGTTAAACATAATCAATTAAAATTTCAATCTGAACAAATCTCAAAAATATTTAATAAAGTAAATACTGTATCATTTCTTATGAATGAAATTAAAACCAATGGTTGACAAGGAAATTTTTTTTACTGTTTCATCTAATTTCTGTTCAGTTAAACATGCTCAG